GGGGGGTAGCTCTGAAGTGCACCACAAAAACATTTTAAAGTACTCCTTTCTCGAAAATCAATTACCATACAGTTTTTTTTAAATTGCAGCTGATAATTAAAAGTAACAAAATATACAATCCACACGAGGTGCGTCGCCTATCATTGTATTTCAGCACTTTCATGCTACGACCAAAAATGATAAATTCATTGTAAAACACTTCAATTAAAACAGAATTTTTTAACAACCTAACATCAACCCCAATTAGAGAAACGTGTTAATAATTTATTAATAGTGCAAGAAACTAAATACAGCACATACTTATAAATTTCCGACGGGCCATTATGATCTACAGGCCAGGTGGCAATCGCCCCCCCCCCCCCCCGTGCCAGTCCGCCCCTGTGTCCGTCTTCGGGAGCAAGTGACTTTATTTCTCTTTGGTCTTAGTAATTTATACGTAGAGAGCTATTATGTTTTCGTTTTTCTTGTTATACTGTTTTACTCACTTTTTACTTTTTTTTTGTTACATTTACTTTGTATTTCATAATACTTATTGTTAACTTGTTTTGTTATATCTGATGCGACCAAGAGGGGGGATACTAATGGCCTTATGGCTTCTCCTATCCCTTAATAAATTTATATTATTATTATTATTATTATTATTATTAGTAAAACCCTTGAGGATCCTTCCACTAGTCCCTCAACATATAGAAATGCACTGCGCCTGCGGATACTACAGGTGAGTGAGAGGGGAAAATTAATACCCTCGATATCTAGAAACTCTCCTCCCAGAGGCTATAAAAAGTCGTCTCGGGGGTCATACCACCTCTGTAAGCATGTTGGAATGGATGTAGTGGTCTAAGGAGGTGATTTAGGCACCCACCAACTTCACCACCGTTTTCAGAAGAAAAAATGATATGCTGATGGGCATGTGTAATCCTTCATAATGGGCTGTTGACCACCTATCCCTCGGCGACCATCCCGGGTAGCTACTTTCCAGTTAGACTATCCCGTATATTTGCACTGGGCAAACCCATTTTTGTGTGATTAATATTAAATACTATCCCTTAATCTACGCCGTCTTAACCCTCCATCCATAGAACGCAATCCCTTAATTTACTAACGCTGCAGAGTATGTAATTTTGTATTTTACGTGGCTTCAAGTAAAAATCCATTTTTGACTTTGAGAGACAAATTTTAGACAAAAACCGAATACCATTCCTTAATACACCATACAGTAACCCCCGTTCTCATAAAATCTAATCCACGCCATCCCTTAATATACAAACTTTCCCTTAAAGGGGGCAACTTTTGCTTTGCGCGGTTCATTTTTGTGATTGAAGGACAAAAATTGAATACTATCACCATAAAACGTAATCCACCCCAACCCCTAATTTAACCTTTGCATTGAAGCTGTGTCGAATTCTGCATTGCGAGGTTCTCATTTTTGAGATTTAGTGACAAAATTTAGACAAATTTCAAATACGATCTCCTTAATCTTCCTCGTGGTAACCCTCTATCACAATCATAGAGCGTAATCCACCCCAACCACTAACTTTCCCTCGAAGGTGGCACGTTTGCATTGTAAGGTTCTAATAGAAACGCATTTTTGAGATTGAGAAACAAAATTTAGATATGGATTGAACACGACCCCTTAATCTACCCCGTATTAATCCCCCATCACGATCATAAAAAGTAATCCGTCCCAACCTCGAATTTATACAAACTTAATTTCCCTTTTGAAGGCCGCAACTTGTGGTTTTCGCAGTTCCAATGGAAGCAATTGTTGAGATTGAGACCTAAATTTAGACAAAAATCAAATGCGATCCCTTAATCTACCCTAATTCAACCCCCTATCACGATCATAAGACATAATTCACTCCAACCCTCACTTAACCAACCTTGCCTTCAAGTTGCGCCAACTTTTGTTTTGTGCAGTTCTAATAAAAATCCATTTTGGAGAATGCGAGACAAAATTTAGACAAAGATTAAATTATTAGTATACAAGCTGAGAACTCAAATCCTGGTAAGCTGAATTATAGTCTCTAACTCAAAACTGGACTTTGATGTCGAATTTTACATTGCGCCGTTCAAATAAAAATCCACCCTAAACCTTAATTTAGGATTGTTGAGATTGAAAAAAGACAAAAATTTAGTACGATCCATACTCTGCCGCAACCCTCAATATCATGCTCAGATACCTTCATTAATTGGTAGCTATCCATCTTATAACGACTCAAAACGGGGTGATATTGACTAAGTGGATTGATAAAGACACTAAACATTCCCCATACTTCTTTTAATTATTTCAGGTATTAAAAAATAGTAAATAGTAAAAAATTAAGACCTAAAATAATTAAAAGAAGTATGGGGAAGGTTTAGTGTTTTTATAAATCCACTTACCTACATTAATTTAATTCGCCTTAGACATGGGACTGCGAGTGTAGAAAAGGATCAGAGAAATGGAAACAACGAAAATAGGGCACAAAAAGGGACATTTTTAATTTATCTGATGAGTAGGATTTCCAAAGGAAAGAATGCCATGTCAACTGAAGGTCGGTTTTCCAACATGCACATACCTTACAAGCTTTTCCCTCCCGAATCGTTGAGGTTGCACATATTTCCAGGTTGTCGTCCTCCTTGTCATTAAAACAGTCCTTGTATGAGCTGACGTGCAGAGTCGCCTTGCGTAATCGTTCCGGTGTGTTGTACAAATCTAAAAGGGAAAACTCACCTTAGCTTCGTCCGATATTGCGGCCGAAGCTCACCATCAATAATCCCAAATCCGGTAAGAAACGCTGTTTTTCCGACTAACTTCTCCGAGTTGTTGATGTGGAGTCGCACCAAGTTAACATTTTTACCTGCATCACACGGTAATTTCCTGGTACCATAGTCACAGTTACTCACTTAATTTAGCGGCGCTCACTAACTTTACCAGCCCAATGTCACTCTTTCCGGTCTTCAGGTACGCCGGATGGATGGTGAGCAATGAGACCCTAACAACTTGTGCTCCATTCGCCGATCGAAATATGCTTCCAAGTGCTACATGCACCTGCGATCTACAACGATGGTACCCAAGCGAGTCACACTTTCAGATCTGCTTACGGTTTCATTGCGGCTTCCCTCGCGTCTATTTGTATGCAGTGCGCTGCAGTTAGAATCCACATGGGGTGAATGAGGCTGCCACCACAGAAACTGTGATATGTTTTGTTGTCATTGAGCAGTTGCATTAGACTTGCGTGAAAGGGAAAAGCACCCAAGTTTGGCTCGGTTGGCTTTGAAAACCCCTAAATAACGATGAAGGCCCTTTAGAAGAAATTTTGTTGACTTACGTTCACAATTGGTACAGCGTATATTGGTGAGATGAATACTGCAACCAGCACCAGAAGCTTTTTCATTATAGGTGTATGGAACTGTTACCTATACACCGCCGTCGAAAAATGTATTCTGAATGCCTAATTTGATCATATCAATGATTCATGGTCACCAACAGGAAGCTGTAGATCACGATAGACATAAAGCGATCATTACCGGTATTTAATAACAGTCGATCTACTTTTCGTTTTCCGACTTTAATTAACACTTTTGGTCGCATGAAGGAAGGCAGATATCAAAGGGGATGTTTTGCATGAAATCCTATTAACGCAGAACTTGCTGCTAAAGTATTTTTATGTGGCGTAGTTAGTTTGGTATAGAAATAAAAAGTCCTTGCGTTTACTGTTGAACTTGAAACATTTGGGGCAATGCCTGGTAGGTTTCATGTTGGTACTTTTTCAATTAAAATTGTAGGAAAGCAAGGATTTCAAGCGTCAATTTAATGCATACCTACCTGCAATCTTGTAATTTTTTGTATGCGTTATTAGATATATTAGTTATGTTTCATCTTCTTGAGCAATTTACCATTAGTGACCACATTATAAATTCAGAGGATTATTAATATTATAGAAAACTCTGTTTGTCTGGGACGATCGCAGTAATTTGAAAACCAAAAGGAACATTCTTAGAGTGCAATTGGAGGGTGGCGTACGGATCATTTATTCATAATCGATTAACGAAATACAAATATTTGGTGTACCACAAAAATTACAACCCCCGCAATCCAGGATAACCGAATTTTTTAATAAAATTCGTAATTTTAGAACCAAAAGGAACATTAACCTTAAAGAGTTATTGAAGGGTTGGTTATGGATCATTTTTACATAATCGATTAACGAAATACAAATATTTGGTGTACTACAAAAATTACAACCCCCGCCATCCAGGATCAAGGGTCTGAATTTTTTAATAAAATTCGTATTTTAAAACCAAAAGGAACTTTAACCTTAAAGAGTGATTGAAGGGTAGGTTATGGATCATTTTTACATAATCGATTAACGAAATACAAATATTTGGTGTACTACAAAAATTACAACCCCCGTAATCCAGGATAACTATACATAAGGGTCTGAATATTCTAATAAAATTCGTAATTTTAAAACCAACAAGAACTATAACATTAGAGAGCAATTGAAGGGTAGCATAGGGGTCATTTATTCATAATCGATTAACGAAATACAAATATTTGGTCTACTACAAAAATTACAACCCCCGCAATCGAGGATCACTATTCATACGAATCTAAATTTTATAATAAAATTCGTAGTTTTGGAACCAAAAGGAACTTTAACCTTAAATAATAATTGAAGGGTTGGTTATGGATCATTTATACATAATCGAACAACGAAATACAAATATTTTCTATACTACCAAAATTACAACCCCCGCAATCGAGGATTACTATGCATATGAGTCTAAATTTTCTAATAAAATTCGTAATTTTAAAACCAAAAGGAACATTAACCTTAAAGAGTAATTGAAGGGTTGGTTATGGATCATTTATACATAATCGAACAACGAAATACAAATATTTTCTATACTACCAAAATTACAACCCCCGCAATCGAGGATTACTATGCATATGAGTCTAAATTTTCTAATAAAATTCGTAATTTTAAAACCAAAAGGAACATTAACCTTAAAGAGTAATTGAAGGGTTGGTTATGGATCATTTATACATAATCGAACAACGAAATACAAATATTTTCTATACTACCAAAATTACAACCCCCGCAATCGAGGATTACTATGCATATGAGTCTAAATTTTCTAATAAAATTCGTAATTTTAAAACCAAAAGGAACATTAACCTTAAAGAGTAATTGAAGGGTTGGTTATGGATCATTTATACATAATCGAACAACGAAATACAAATATTTTCTATACTACCAAAATTACAACCCCCGCAATCGAGGATTACTATGCATATGAGTCTAAATTTTCTAATAAAATTCGTAATTTTAAAACCAAAAGGAACATTAACCTTAAAGAGTAATTGAAGGGTTGGTTATGGATCATTTAATCATAATCGAGTAACGAAATACATATTTGGTGTACTACAAAAATTACAACCCCCACAATCGAGGATTACTATTCATATGAGTCTGAATTTCGTAAAAAAAATCGTAATTTTAAAACTTATAAGGACTTAAACTTTAAAGAGCAATTGAAGGGTTGCTTATGAATCATTTATTCATAATCGAATAACGAAATACAAATATTTGGTGTACTACAAAATTTACAACCCTCACAATCGAGGATTAATATGCATATGAGTCTGAATTTTCTAATAAAATTCGTAATTTTAAAACCAACAAGAACTTTAACATTAGAGAGCAATTGAAGGGTTGCTTATGGGTCATTTATTCATAATCGATTAACGAGACTAGAAACCAATTTCGAAATAAAATTCAAAGGGCTGTAACTTTTGAACTAGTAGCCCAATCTTGGAACTGTTTGAAATTATGGATTCTACAGGCCACATTCGATAAGAAAATTTTTTTTCCGGGTCGATCTGAGACAATTTTTTTTTCGCGCCTCAAAAAAAAGGCAGTGTATTACCTTCCTTTTTGCCAAAAATCGACTGCACCAAAATGTCTCGGGAAAACACTTTTTCTTATTAATTTTGGTGCGTAGAATCCAAAACAATTCGTACTTTTTCGATCAGACTTCTCAATCAAAAGTTATAGACTAGAACCAATTTCGAAAGAAAATTCAAAGGGCTGTAACTTTTGAACTAGTAGCCCAATCTTGGAACTGTTTGAAATTATGGATTCTACAGGCCACATTCTATAAGAAAAATTTTTTTCCGGACCGATCTGAGACAATTTTTTTTTCGCGCCTCAAAAAAAGGCAGTGTATTACCTTCCTTTTTGCCAAAAATCGACTGCACCAAAATGTCTCGGGAAAACACTTTTTCTTATTAATTTTGGTGCGTAGAATCCAAAACAATTCGTACTTTTTCGATCAGACTTCTCAATCAAAAGTTATAGACTAGAAACCAATTTCGAAAGAAAATTCAAAGGGCTGTAACTTTTGAACTAGTAGCCCAATCTTGGAACTGCTTGAAATTATGTATTCTACAGGCCACATTCTATAAGAAAATTTTTTTTCCGAGTCGATCTGAGACAATTTTTTTTGAGGGCCTCAAAAAAAGGCAGTGTATAACCTTCCTTTTTTTGCCAAAAATCGACTGCACCAAAATTTCTCGGGAAAACACTTTTTCTTATTAATTTTGGTGCGTAGAATCCAAAACATTTCGTACTTTTTCGATCAGACTTCTCAATCAAAAGTTATAGACTAGAAACCAATTTCGAAAGAAAATTCAAAGGGCTTTAACTTTTGAACTAGTAGCCCAATCTTGGAACTGTTTGAAATTATGGATTCTACAGGCCACATTCTATAAGAAAATTTTTTTTCCGGGTCGATCTGAGACAATTTTTTTTTCGCGCCTCAAAAAAAGGCAGTGTATAACCTTCCTTTTTGCCAAAAATCGACTGCACCAAAATTTCTCGGGAAAACACTTTTTCTTATTAATTTTGGTGCGTAGAATCCAAAACAATTCGTACTTTTTTCGATCAGACTTCTCAATCAAAAGTTATAGACTACAAATAATTGCTGTACTACAAAAATTACAACCCTCGCAATCGAGGATTTCTATATGCATATGGGTCTGAATTTTATCTTCTTGTTTTCTTCTTTACTCTTTTCATGAATTTCTCCATTGCTTTTTTAATGTTTTCCTCTTCTTCACCCCTCATTTCACTCTCTTCTTCCCCTATTTTTATTCCGCCCCTCCATATCCTGTCTCTTCCTTTGCTTCCGTGATCTGACAACTTTCTTGCTCCTTCTAAACACTTCGCTTCACTCTTCTTCTTCTGATTCTTCCCTTTTTTCAGTCCCTATACATTCATCCCAGATTGCGTTAGGGGCTTGTCCAATCTTGTCTTGATCTTGACTGAATTTATCGATTCCTGAATGGTGGTGCAATAAATGTCTACATGATAATCTTTGTATAGGTACCCAAATACTTTAGTTACCTACTAGTCGCAGGTTACGGAAAAAAGCAGAAACACAGTCGTTACATTTAAGTTTTACTTAAAAAAATATGCGCTTTACGTTGGAGCTTTCTTGCAAAACTGGGTTAAAGAATCGATATAAATTTATATGAATTCGCCATCACCGGCATTCGGCAGTTTTATATGAAATAAAGTGAAGTCGTAGGTAAATGCCTTTCGAAACTTATAAGCGAGAGATTTAAAGTGGAATTCGTATCCAACGATGCAAACCGATACTCTCGCATAGCCCCTTATTAAAAAGCGTCCCAAAAATGATTTGTAACACACCCCGAAAAGAAGTTCAGTTATAATGTAATAGGATTTCTGACTTATGCTTTAAAATGTCGTAATAAAGGATTATTTACTTAGCGAAAATATTAGTGAATTACCTTCTTTCATTCGTTAAAAAGCGAGCGGAACACTGCGAGCAGGTGAAATATAAAACGATAAGAATAGTAAGTTAGGAGGGTTGTTTTTCTCACTTCGAAAAATATTTACACAGCAATTGGAAAAAAATGAGTTTTCTTTTCGAAGAGAATTGAAATGCTATTTACAAATAACGATCTTGATGAATTACACCACTTGAGAACTTTCAAATTTACAAAGCGTTGGAAACACCGCCATATTCCTAATTTTGTTATACAGATACAGACTGCGTCAAACAATTTGCTAATTTTAACCAGATAACAAAAGTGCCTACCACTGGTCTGTATATTCTACAATTCTACATCAAAGGTTAAGGTTTATTTTCCCCGCACAACTTTTAGGGGTAGGTACGTTTAAAGCTGGATATGTGGTTTCGACATCAAAACATGAAATCATGCACAAAGAAAACTGTAGGGATCGTGTTTTATGTGAATGATTGAAATTTTATTCAACCGGTTGACTTTTTATCGCCACTTTTCTGTACCCTTATAAATGAACAAAAGCTCTCGAAATTGTAATTCCTTTTATCACGTCAATTT